CGAAAACAGAAAAGATCTAACTCCACCTCTTCAAAGAGCTTTTATTTATTTATTTTTTAACAAGCCACAGCTGATGAGAAGCAACTCATTGCACCAGTTGGGGTTAAATAACTTGTTGCAGCTGAAAGATGATCACTCATGCAGTAATGATCCAACAGGAGGCTCGTACCTGTTTGTTTAGTTAAATCCAGGTGGAGACTTTTCTTTTGGCCAGGCAGTGTAATTAAATTACTTGATGAACTCTATTTTCTTTCCCTAACCTTTTCTAACATCAAATTAGTCTAAAGCTCAAGATAATGCTAACAGAATCATTGTTAAAGACTAAAAGAATACACATTTTACATGGCCAAGTTGTGATCACCTTTATAAGAGATTACTAATTATGAGTTATTGTCAGAGTTTGTCAGATAACTCCACTTCAGAAAACAGGAGCATCGTGTGACTCCAGCTGTAACACGGACAAAATATGAACAGACCTCTAATTTTATTACAACACATAAAAATTTACTAAGTTACTCTCTTACACTTTGTTTGGAACAACAGCAAAGAATCATTTGTAAAAGATCTGACTTCTTGTTTTCTGTCTGAAAGGCCACTTTAATGCGATGAATCACGATGACAGATTAACCCGTCTAAATAAAGGTTGAATGAATTATGAGACTAAAGTTAAAACTGCAGCAATTTACTGGATATTAAGACCACAGATATTCACCAGGAAGACTTGATTAGCACTTTCGCTGAGTGTGGAGTCATCAGGGCTGTCTACTGGAGTCTGGCTGGTGAACTTTGAGTCAAACTGGCTGACGTCGTCGGCTGATTGCTGCCAAAACAAGTGAGCGGGTTAGTCCGATCAACAGGTGCGTCTTCACATCATGTGCAGCACAGGACAGGCAGCGTGAACACTTGTGTTTCAGCATCAACGTATGCGAGTTAGAAACTACAGAAAGATATTCTCTTTGGAAAAAAACAAAACATTTTATTTAAAAAGGAAGCAACTTTAGATTTAAAAAAATTGAGAAAATGTGATGTGTTTTACAACTTCATACATCCCAACAATTTCAATAACTTAAAACAAACCTCTACTAACAAGACCTTATTTATCAGGTGATCTGAAAAAAAA